TGAGGTGTTCTGTTGTTGGATGTAATAATGAACATAGCAGTCGTCATTTACTCCTGACATCTGAGCCGCTGAACTCGCAGTGGATTACGTTTGTTTCTGAAGGGAATGCGCTCCCGATCTACATAAATGCATCTCTGTTCGCGCGAATCATTCATGATACAGCCTCATCTACAGAAGTGAGTATAATGTTTTGTAATGAATCTTTGCAAATCGCCTTTCCTAATAATGTGCTAATTAGCAAGTTTCACAATGCAGCTCGGAAGAGAGGGGCGGGGGCAGCAGACCTCATTAACATTTAAAGGAAAATGCTACAAAAACGGCTTACTCTGAAAAGAGCTGTTTTTGACAGGGTAAAAAAAGGTGTTTTTTACACTACCATTGAGAAATTTTAACCAAACTATGTGACAGACTTTTCATTAAGACCCTAAAGAATCATATCAACTTGTGGAAAATGGGCATCCTATGACCCCTTTAAGTAAAATTAAAATGAAATCTAAAAATAAATAAAAATAAAAGCTAATTAAAAAAATTATAAACACTGTCTTCAGCTCAAATTATACTTAAAAACAACAACAACAAAAAAAAACTAGTTTAGGCTGAACCTTCTGAAGAACTAAAATGTATTATTTCATTGTTGTGAGATGTTTTCCCTGCTTTGATGTTATCGAAAAGTATTTATTTGAAATAGAAATCATCTGTAACATAAATGTCTTTATTGTCATTACACTTAATGCATGCTTGCTCAATAAAATTACCCATTTCTTTAAAAAAAGAATCTTACTTCTGAACAGTAGTGTATAGCCACACATTCATTAAATACAACTAAATGAGCTTTCATCATAGTTGCTATTTGTTATTCACAACAGGGAATTGCTTCTCATGGAAGGATACGTCACAGTGGTGTGGAGCGCACTCAGCCTCTCAAGGTGGTGTAAGACGAACAGCAGGCCAAAGGAAAACACGCCCACCATGTGAACACTTAGAGACAGCAGAAACAAGAAGAAGTAACGATAATTCCTCCGGCCAATGCAGTTGTTCACCCATGGGCAGTGGTGGTCAAACTCCTACAGTGAAAAGAAAAGTATGTGTGTGTGAGCGCTGGCATTGTGATGATTTTAAATTACGCAGGAATGTTGGTCTGTGTGTTTGTATGCGTCTCACCTCCACACAGTTGTCACACACGCTGCAGTGTGAGCAGCGAGGAGGTCTGTAGAAGTGGCACGTGGCACACCACTTCATCCGCACCTGAATTCCCTTTATCTCCACGTTTTTATAAAGCGGAGCTCGGAAATCATCGTCTTTGTCTTCATCCTCATCCGCTGGGAAACAGAATTTCAACATTCACATCAATATTGTGTGCGACTCTCAATTTTCTGAGTATTCTTCTCATGGACCTACTGTTGGATCTCCAGACATCTGAAACAGAGAATGGATTGAGAAACCTAGACTATGACCGGATCATACCTCTGGGAAAGACTCCAGGATCCATAAAGGTGGCCATGCTGAAGTTGGCCAACACAAATAGGAAGACGATGCCATTGTATAGAGGCACAACAGAGGAGATGGCCTTGGTCAACCACGGACACCTGAGAGAGGGTACGAGAGAAACAGAAGAAGGATTATCATCTAGAATGCTAAAGCTCAAAAGACCGGCTCTGAATTAGCCATTTTCAGCCTGTAGTTGTTCAGCCTTTTTTTTTTTTTGTCTGAACAACATCCATGTTCATCCCTGCAACATTTTTGCAACAGAGAGATTCATGCAAACCTCAGAAAACTTCTGAACCTTATAGCTGATCACTGACAGAATAGTAAAATCAAATGTGTGCAGTTACTCTAGTGACAGACTGAATAATCAGTCAAACATTAGGAATTTAGGATACATTTGGCTGATAAATGAACAAATCATACAAATGATAAATGCCTGCTTGGCAGATTAACAGAAATATTGATTTACCATTGGGTCAGTAAAAAAAAAAAATTACATTTTTATAAATTTTTTTATTAAAATAAAATGTTGTTTTGCACAAATTAAATGACAACTAAATAATATATATAAATATAAAATGTATATTGTATTTTTTCAATTAGTATAATTACTAATATTATTGTTGTTCTTGTCATTTGTGCAACATATTTTATTGTTTTAATAATAATAATAAATGATAATTTACTATTTTTCTATTATTATTATCATTATTATTGTTGCTATTATTGTTATTGCTATTATTATAACTATTATAAACATTTATTATGTATATGTCCTGCATTTGTTAAATTCTATCATATCATAAACACATACAGTAGATATTGTCATTGGTAATTAAACAAACCTATAGGCTACTGATCGACCACTTCTTCACACTGATTTGTTAAAATCAAAAGCAATGTGTGGCAATGTTTAATGGGTAAACTGCTTTTAGGGTTGGGAAATGTCTACCAAATTGCCATTAGATGATGTCTACAGTGAAACATTGCGATGGATCACCTACTTGACTCGCTCTGTCTCAACAGAGCTGAGCTGCTGTATGCGGACCGTCTGCGCGGTCACAAAAATTGGGCTGCACGCAGATGGTGTGCGAATCACAATGCTGGCACAACATGGTGATATCTGTCAGCCATCGGCGATGGATGATGGGATCGTCTATCGGCCCAACCCTACTGCTTATGCAGGAAAGCATCTACCAGTGCCCAATCCACGACTAGTTGTCCTACCATAGCTCCTCTCATAATACACCCTCTGACTAGGCTCTGCTCAAGTTTTATTAAGCCAAGCGAGTTGCTTACAGAGAAAGAGAGAATATATATATATATATATATATATATATATATATATATATATGCACTTCTAAATTTGAACCCCTATTGGAGTCTATTACATTTCTTGTAGTCTTGTAGAACAAGACTTTTTCTGGCCAAGAACCGCCCACCCAGACAGGAAGACTCCATTTGATCGACATCTAAAGTGACCAAGCACATTTATTTTGGTTTCTACATGTCATTTAGAGGTAGATCAATTTATAATGCATTCATTGTATGACCACTATGGAACTATTCAAAGAACGTTTCAGCAGTATTTGTGAATGGCCGAGATTACATTTCTGCATATTGATGCAACAAGCCACTCAAGGCAATGCTTTACAGTGATTTGACCAGATTCATTTGATACAGACAGCACTGTTCAACAAATAAGCACATGTAATTATAGTGCCAATTAGAATATTGGAAATATTGTTTAAGTAATACAGTCCATTAGCCTAACTGCAGACATTTATAGTTGCCAAGCAACTGTTATAATGGCTATTCCACAGCAGCTTCGAACACACCTCATCCAATCAGATTTTAAAGCTAGAATGATCCGTAACTCTCTAACCCCTCCTGCTACCTCTATTCTCTCTCTCTGCAGGCAGTAGATCATGCTACTATTCTGTCGAACCCTGAGGGAAAAGCACTAACTCATAGTCCGTCTGCTCTGCACTGGAGGAATGCCAGGCTCCTTGGATAGGTGAAGGCTGTCACCTTTATCTCACTGATGTGATTCGATACATACATTCCATTCAGTTTTCTATTCAGTTCGTTGTTTTCTTCATTTTAATCAGAGACCTAACAATGGCAGTCCTGAGAATACAAAGTAGTAATGAAGTGGAAGGTGAGAATGATAAAGAGGCCAGATTCACCCCCCTCAGACACAACAGAGCAAAACTGATGGAATAACTACTCCTTCGTGTATAATCCAATCACAAACTGATGACCTCAGAATCAATCCACGCTGTGGGCAAAGAAATAAATGCCAGTTTTATCAGCCACATGAACATCTCCTTGGGGGTAAACAAGAACGTCAGGGAAATTATGGAATAAATAAACTGCCTGTGAAATGCAATAACTCTTGATCAGTAAGCGTCTTGCTCTATGTGAGACAGACAGTGGGCTGCATTCATGAAGTCCAGCAGGGCTTAAAATGCCCTTCATCTGAATGACAGTTCAGAGATTTTTATTAGGTGAAGGTGGTTACATTATTTCTTAGTTTGCACATCAAAATCAAGAACAGACTAAAGGCTTGTTAGCCACACATAGACATATTTTAACACTGAGAATAAGAAATGTTTCCTGAGCAGCAAATCAGCATATCTGAATGATTTCTGAAGGATCATGTGACGACTGGAGTAATGATGCTGAAAATTCAGCTTTGCCATTAAAGGCATAAATGACATTTTAAAATGCATTAAAACAGAAAAGTTATTTATAAAGTTAAATTCCAATTATATAATTATAAACAATTTCAAGTCTCTTAATTCATCTCCTTTGAATGAATCACCATCACAACAAAAGCACCAAAGCACCTCTTTTATTGTAAATAAGTCACAGCTGAAGGGTGTTGTTAGGCACGGCGTGAAGCGGAGAGCCTGCAATCCTTTCAGTCGTGCCTTATTCACAATACAGCACACCTTGAGTATCTTATTGCTTTTATAAAACAGTTACCACACAATACAAATATTAAATCCAAAAATGTATTTATTGATATGTTACTTTTTAAAAATAAATTTGTAACAACGTTCGTAGTTCGGGAAGAAGGAGGCGGGAACCGGAGAATGTTTAAATACTTTAATAATCAAACAAACACAAAATGAAAGTAAAGCGGCAGCCCCTCATGGACGACTGCCGCACACAAAACACAAAATAAAGTCCAGGCCTGGTCCTCTCTCGTCCAACACTGTCGTCACTCCTCCTTTTATCCTTCCGGAGCTCCTCCGTGGGACTTGAGACCGGTGAGTGGCGCAGGTATCGCGCATTAGCATTTCCTCCACCGGCCTCGCTCCGTTCCCACGGCTCTCGGCCCCGCCCCTCTCATCACAAAATTAATTAAATGCTATCCTTCCGCTAAAACAAATAGTTCCTGACAATGACATTAACTGTCAAGAGAATGTTCCGATGTAACAAGCCTAAAAGCATATGTCAAATGTGTGAATGTAAATGTAAACTCTTCTGGGGAACCCTTTCAGATTTAGTAAACAATTTCTATGCACCTTGTTTTGCGGAAAGGGGAATTTTCATATTAAAGCCCTCTACAAAGTGTTGCACACTATGTTGGAGGCCCATTCTCATATATTGGCAAGAAAAGCTTCTGAGTCTCTCATTGGACATGAACCTAGCAACAAGTCAACAAATTCATCAATCTGCTCTATGAACATAATTGTGGGGAGTCAAAATGTTACAGTATGCATTTAAACAACATAGCTAAAAACACTTTCATGAAACAATCTGTGCTTAATTTCTTAAATCTACTGTTCTACATTTAATTGGCCGCCCCTTCCAAGGATTAAACCAGCAAACCTTGTGTAAGAAGGCTATATCCTAAATCATGCATTTACACACTCCCCTCTCTTGCATACATGAGCCCCTTATTTCAGTGGAAATTACACAGGCATTTTAACAACCCAAGGGCTGTGCTGGAGGGGTGTATATTAGGTTTAATTTAGGCCATTCCTTGCAGTGTGTCTAACGCCTAGCTGCTACAAACATTAGCATATCTGTGCCAGAAGCAGAAACTCTAAGGAGCCATCTATCCATGTGGATTATAATATGCCAACAAAATCAATATAGATAAAGGGAACAACCCTGTCAACAACAGCTTTAGGGAGCACAAAGCTATTAAACCGGTGCTAGTTAATTCATATCTCTGACTGCGAGATAAACATTCAAAATACATTCAAAAATGCTAAAAAAACATGCAGAAAAAGAGACAGACAGATGTCGCAACCCCAACAGCTCTAGTAATTTAATAGATGCAGCAATAATTAGAATATAGATCAAATAAATGATAAAAAATAAATAAAAACATCTAGCAGAGAAGCTACTTATTGGTGGCGCCTGATATGTACAAACTTACAGTTGTAAAATAAACAAAACAAAACAAAACAAGCTAGAAACTGTGCAGGAAAAAAAGAGAGAGATATAGACATCACAGCCCCAACAAATAATAGTTTTTTAAATAATTAAATAATTATTTAATCATTTAAATAAATAAATCTAGCAGATAAGCTATTTATTAGTGGTGCTTGAGAAGACAATTATCACAATTACTATGCTCATATTTACTTATGGTTGTAAAAAGAAAGAAAGAAAGAAAGAAAGAAAAGAAAACAAATCTGGTCATTTAATAAATGGAGCAATAATCTGAAATTTTTAACAAAAAATAATTGAATGAATGAACTAATTAATTAATTAATTAAATATCTAGCAGAGAATCTGTTTATTAGTGGTGCTTTATAAAGATAATTATTAAAATGAATATTTTCATACTTAATAGTAATTGTTCTAGATGTCTTAACCACCACTAATAAACATCTTTTCTGCTGGGATCTGACAGCAAGTCACCCCCCCCCCCCTTTCCCCCCATAGCTGTGTGGCATCATTGATATGCAGCATACACACCTCCATGATGCACATCCCACTGGGATGATAAATGTATTTCAGTGATGAAGATCCCATTTGACTAGACAAATAACATATCTAAGTGATAGAATAGAGGAAAAAGTTCCACCTATCATATCCAGAGTGTTTCTGTACTGAAAATGGAACATTAATGCTT